GAAAGCAACACTTTGAATCAGAAAATTCCCTTGAAAAGAAAGAACATATTTGTGAACATCCTGTACTTTTTTTTATGATAATGTTCTATCATTTACTTTAATCACAACAAATCCCAATGACAACACCAAAACCAACAGTGTGCTGTTGGTTTTGGTGTTTTCCTGGGATTTGCTGACAAGAAGAGAATATAGAATAACACCAGCATTCTCATGTAATTTTTTTATTTGATTTATTATACTGGCCTTGATGATCTATGGACTTTTCCTTTAGCACCACCATGTGGTTCACAGTTGTGGCTCTGAGTGAGAGTCTCGGCTACCAGTGGCTAGTGACTGTCATGAAATTTGGTGATCCTTGGACTTTTTATTCACACCAGTTCAAAGTTTTTTTTTATCCAGTACTTAATGAGCAAATACCTGCAAAAATAATAACTAAAAATGAATAACATTCCCATTAGCCTCAGTTGTACTTTGTTTTTAGTGCTAATTAACAAAAGTTAGCATGGTGACCATGGTGGACATAAACATCAGCAGTTTGATAGTGATCATGTTCGCACACTAACATTACCAATTTGTGCCAAAGTGCAGCTTCACGGACCCACTAGTATTGTTCCAGAGTTGTATAAGCAGATCCTAGCATCTACAGAGATGCTGGGATGTATTACTCCGTCCATCATTAGCTAATCAGTGCAAAGAATGCAAGGACCTACACTCTTTATTTCAGCAGGTCATTTTTCTTTTTTATTCTCTGCAGTGCTTGGAAGATAATAATCCAGACAAGATATAGAAAGGAAATAGTTCAAAGTAACTGCTGATATAATATGATAACATGAATTATTGTGTAATGATAAGAAATTTGAATGAGAAATGAGTGCAATGCTAATGCTATAATACCGTTTTTTGAGGTGGATAATCTTTTACTTCCATTTTAAAATCTACGCAGGCTGGTCTTTACAGCCGCAACGTGAGAGACAGTTACTGAAACACAATTCTCTGTGTGTGTGTGTGTGTTGCTTCAGCAGGCAGATGACAGCAGGAGATGTGTCTGCTTTAGGGTGCTGCATGCTTCAGCAGACAGATGACAGCGGGAGATGTGTCTGCTTTAGGGTGCTGCACACATCTCTGACATCTCTGTATGTTCATGTGATGCTTCCAGTTCCGTTTACCAGGATGGTTTCCTGCAGTGAGTTTCAAGACCGTGTGAGCAGTGAGGCAGGATTAACAGCTTTGAAACAGCAATCAGAGACAGAGAGAGTAGGAACTGTGTTCATCAAGCGCCACATGATACAGTTTGTGCAAACTGTATATTAGTTGTTCTGCTTTCTCATTTCTGCACTAGAATTCATCATCGTTCCTTGTGAAATTCTCATCAAGTACTCGGTATTAATCACTACATTCTATACAACAAACCAATAAATCAGATTAAGACAGGAAATCAGATGAATTATTTGCGTGTACCTGGTGAAAAGCTCACGTTTACATACAGCAGGTCAGGAACCAGATCCGTTATCGTTGCCCTTCCTTATCTGTGATCTACATTTCTGATAGATGGTAATGCTACCTGAAGGATTTTGGACATTTTTGTTTGTAGTGTCTCTGGTAAGAGACCACATACTGTAGTCTTACTGTGCAGCACATTCACGTCTGAGTTTTAAAAATAACCTATTTAAGTATGTAAACAGACTGATTTTAACTCATTGTCCTCTTCTGTTCTGTGTTTGACTGATCAGACTTGGAAACAAAGACGCCTCATGAGTGAAGATTATACTTCTCATTCTGCTACACTGATGTCTCAGTGACACCACCTCTTTCCAGTCTTTGTCATGCAAACACAAGCACGCAAAACTCCAATAAGTAAAGTATATAACTTTCATGGCCAAGAAATCTGTCATCTCTCAGCCAAATGTTTCTTACACTCCATTTACATAGACTGAACTTTTATCTTAACCAGCATTTAAGCAGTCTAGTTGCTGCAGAAAGCAGAAGGTTATTTATGTGCATATAAGATGTTAAAATTTAAATCTAAAAAGTGCTATTGGCTGCATAGCAAAGATTTTGTCAAGACGTATTTCAGTTACAAGTACAACCAAGCAGCTAGGGCAGTGTAGAAGATAACCAAGTAAATGGTGCTTTGAGCTGAATGCGAATGTCAACATGCTCACAGTTCCAGTGCTATTCTGCAGATTTTTAGCAATATAATGCTTAAAGTTGCTAATTTATATTAAAACACCAAGTTTAACCCAAATAATGTGATGGTACTAAGACTGACATAAATGATCCTGTGGGCACTATGTCTGAACTATATTTCATGGCAATACATCCAAATAGTTGTTGAGATATTTCACTTGATAATTGAAAACTTTGACCTGCTGGTGGTGCTACATGACAAGTCAAACGATGGACCAACAGGCCAACGTTGTCATCCGCAACGCTGTGACCATAGTGTGGCTAAAATAACAGTAGTATACACAGTAAAGGTCTAGAAGATATTGCAGTGAGTTACAAGGTATAAGTATACCTAAACACATAACCATATAGTCAGAAACATGACTCGTTCCAGCTATAGCAGGGTTGACCTGCCACAGCAGCAGGAGAAATATTCTGGCCAGGCTGGAACACAGAGGATGCTCTCTGGCAGACGTATTTGCATCTCTGAGTCTCCAGCAGTACTGAGCTGCACTCAGTGAACTCACATCACAAGGGGGAGAAATAAAGCAGGATGAGGAGAGCGTGTGCCGGCAGAGAGAGAGAGGAGGGGGTTCACAGCACAGAGGTGAGACAAAAGTATAGACATTTAGGTGAGAATTGTTATTTATTGCCAAAGAGTAATTCATGGGAAATTTGGAATTATTCATGAATTTACCAGGAAAGGCAGAATACAGCCACAGCGATTAGAGTCAAAACACAGACTGTGATGGTTGTTTGATTTGAAAGATGGCAGAAAGGTGATAAAACTGTTACATGCGAGCTCCAGTGCACTGATCCAAAGAGAAAACGTGTTGGTGTGTGATGCTAACAGAGATGTGAAATCCAGAGGAGGCAGTAAACGTATGCCTCCTGATGGGATTATAGTAGTTAGGTAATGACATAATGGAAAATTATGCAGAGCTGGGCTGATCCAAGATGCATCCTACATACTGCAAACCATAAATGGCACAAGATTATCCTATGGTCTAAAGGCAGCATATCAGAAAAGTGTTGCTGCTTGCATTTAAAATAGAAATCTAATTGAATTTGAAACACACATTCTTACTTACTGCCTTAATGTGGTTTCGTTTTAAAGGAGTAGCTCAACATTGTAGAATGCTTTGTTTTCTTGCTGAGCGAGGTTACAAGAAACCACTGGTGATGACCGACACAATGTACGTGCCTGGCAGAAATGGTTACAACCACTGACTGTATAGCCTATAAAAACAAATAACACTCCACACATAGTTCAACATTTTGGGCAACGCTCATTTGCTTTCTGGTTGAGTGTAAGGTGACTCTCATACCTGTCTGTTCAAATCTGGCTTAATTTAGCATGAAACATGGCTCTAGCTAAAGATTAAAAAAAAAAAATCTCATGTCCACGTGATGACAAGACCTGTGGAAGTCACTGCACTCAGCCAAGAAACAGGCTAGCACATAAACCCTGTGAAACCCCAAACTACTTGTACAAATTAGAGGCATTCTAGCTGTTTCCTTCTGCTTCCAGTCATTATGCTACATTCATCTAACAGCCTTCTGACTCTAGCTCCATGTTCAAAGCACAGACACGAGAGTCTAACTGATCTTTAGCAAGAAATCTAATAAGCTTTTCCCAAAATGTTGAGCTGTTCCTTTAAATTATATGCGTTCAGTCTTCATGTTTTCTCAGTAGTAATCCGCTGCATTCATTACGTTTAAAAGGGCACAACACCAAGCAGTCATGTGGAGTCCACGTTGTTGTTGTGAGGTGTGGGAGGGAAAGGCAACCTGAATGAGGAGGGAAGAGGAGTGGTGGAGCGGTGGTTAGCACTGTCACCTCACAGCAAAGAGGTTCCGGGTTCGATGGATGGATGGATGAATGGAATACATAATAGTTTATTCACATATCATGTTTATTTACTCATTTAAAGCCATTTAAACTGATCATCATTCTCATGTGCTCTTCTCACAATCTTTATCAGTCACCTGGAAACCAGAGCAACCCGGTCTAAATTCTTGAGATAGATTTCTATCAACAAGTGATGATTATACATTGGCAAGACACTGTTATTGTTGTGTATTGCAACGACACACACAACACTGATTTTCACTAACAGATGTGCTTATTTCCACTCTTTACATAACACTTCCAGCCAAAGAACCACGTAGGAGGAGAGGTGTGCACTAAGAATGAAGTGCATTTGTAAAATCCTTGCACAGTCAGTTCCATTTATTCAGCCCCTGCATCCTCTCTTCTCAGCTACTCCTTTGACCCCACTGAGCTACAGTAAAGGCTGAATATGCCATAGCTATTATAAATGACACATGTTTTCTTTGTAAATATTAAGCAGTTACCCGGAGCGCAGATTAACACTGGCTCCATTTGCTATCTCTCCTCAGAATCTTGTATTCTCTCAGCAGTTATTCATCACTGATTCCCACTCTGACATGCAGTCTACATGTGAGAGCCTGATCAATATTGTCTGTATGTGGACAAAGGGGACAATAGAGATGCAGCAGAGGACAAGCACATTGTTGTCAATCGGAGACTGTACACAAGCTAATCTTCTGTCTTTCATAGTGTGTCTCTGCTGTCTCTGGCGTCATGGGGACAGACATGGGTAATGAGGTGATAAGATGGTGGTATGAGCACATTAAAACCTTCCAGCTAGGCTTTGATACCATCACAACTCACAGCTGGCAATTGTTGTCTCCAAGCAACACAAAGCGATCAATGCTCATGGACATGTCACAGCTTGTACAGGCTGTAAAACAACTGCTGCAAGACAAGTTTTTAAACAGTCTAAAAGATTTGATGAACTCGGACTGACCTTTGACCTGCGCTGAAAACTGAGCGGTGTGTCTGGTCTCAAACAGCTGCAGCTCTTTGTCCAGGTCACAAACAGTCAGATCAATATTCCAGGAACGCAAACCTGTAAGAACAAAAAGTACACGAACAAATACATATTCACAACACTGAACTCTACAGTGCTTCTCTCACAGTACCTTTGTCTCCAGAAAGTCAGATGACTGACAAATATGACCTAAAGGTGAAGCACTATAATTTCAGTTTAGTCAGTATCTAAGTTTTTATAAGTAATTATAGACTGAATTTGCAGCTTAGGTAGAAAAGAGCAGTTGTTTTTACGTTGATTAAAACTCAAGTTTACCACACTATTCTTGCGTAAAGATTCAGGACATTGGGAATGGCTTTGCAGTCTAAAGTCCAAACCAACAGTCTGCATGGAGACCTTTAAAAAGGCTGCTTTATAAATCTGTCCCAAGACTCAGTCAAATGGAAGCAGTGGAATATAAGACTGGTGGCTGCAGGCAAGTACAGTATGTATGTTTGTTTATTTGTTTGCTGTGAAAAATAACTATTTACAAATATCCAAAAATATTTGGAAATTGTTTTTCAACATGTTCAGTATCTCATGGTTATACTGTATATAGCAAAATGCATTTACTCAAGTATACACATATATACATAATTACACTTAAGGTGTCAGTATTTTTCATTTTTACTACTTAATTTCTACTCCACTACATTTCAGAGGGAAATGAACAAAAACTGCCAAACATGTACCAAACATATAATGATCTTATAAATGATGATGCAGTACTATACCATTCAACTACCCACTAATGTATAAAGTGCCTAGTTTTGGCTCTACCTTAACGAACTTCAGTACTGAAATGCTGCTTACATGTATTAATCAGCAATTATACAATATACTATTGAATTCCAAACTGGAAAGAGCATGAGTACTTTTGGTTTTGATACTTCAAGTACCTTTTGCTGATACTGTACTTTCACTTAAGTTTTGAAGTCAGGACTCTTACCTGCACTGGGGTATTTTAGACCATGGTATTTGTACTTTTGCTTAAGTACAGGAACAGCATAGTAAAACCGGTTCCATTAGTAAACAGTCACTAACACACCGAAGTCCTTACAAATACTGTATGACAAACTTAAGAATTTTTATGAACCAAAACTATCTAAGGACAATTTGAAACTGCAGGAACAGACAGCTGCTACTTATTGTATTGCTTGAAAGTAGTTTTCAGATTGAAATGTAACAACACATGATTCAGATGCTGTGATTGTTTCTGGACTCAGACCTAGAAACCATTATACTTTTGCAAGTTTCTCCCTGCAGCCTTTGGGCTTGTGACTGTTCCTCTTTTCTTGATTTACCTTGTGTGATCTGTTTCCTGGCAGTGTCGAGCTGATGACTGGTAGAAATCTCTCCGATCACAATCAGCATGCGATAGTTTCTGTGCTGGAATGCAGCTCCGTACTCCTCTGGCTCCACTCGCTGCACCGAGGAAGCTGCTGCGATGGAGATTTCCATGGTAACAGTGCCACTAGCAGACGCTGAGCCCTTTTCCATCTCCATGACAACTACATCCGGAGCAAGCACCATGACAGTGCAGGATGAAGTGGGAGGGGTTGTGGGCGTGTCTCCGTGGACGGTGAATATTTGATTGGGTCCCAAGTGATGTGGCTATTTGATGTCACAGTGTATTATTGGACAAATGGAAAAAGAGGAGTATGATAATTAATGTTGATCTTATTTCCTATAGGACACTGGTGAAACTGACTGTGAAGGGGAAGTTTTTTTTAATTAAAAAAATGAGCATCAATAATCAAAGATAAAGATAATCAAGAGGAAGGCCAAAGAGGAGATATATGGATGTGCTAAAGAGGACATGAAGTTATTTGGTGTGAGAGTAGAGGATGCCGAGGATACAGTTAGGTGGAAACAGATGATTTGCTGTGGCGACCCCTAACGGGAACAGCCAAAAGAAGAATCAGAGATAAAGATAATGTTTCAGGGTTACTGAAGGCAACCAGTGTCACTTAAAGGATCCTTTGTCATTGGTCTTATATTAAACCCCAGACACAAAAGAGGCTGAAAATAAGATGTTTGTGGTATAGAAAGGTTCTGTTTAAATCAGTGGCACTGCAAGTACCAGGCAATGTGAGCTGACTGCTACACTGACACATCCTTATTCCCAGTGGGAGCAAAACAGTGCTTCATCTGTGCAGAGCAGCAGTAACAACAAAGGTTCAAAGTTGGCTTCAAAAAGCTTCAGAAGACATTTGGATAAACTCATTCTGCACCACACAAGTTACAAGTTGCATTATAGTGACAAAAATGGGCAAGTATAAGTTTAATAAAAACTACAGGATAAATTTGACAGCAAAGATCAAACGATGACCAAAATCAGAAATAAACTGGGGTGGCATTGTGGACAGTGGTTAGTTGCCTCACAGCAAGAAGGTTTTGGGTTCGAGCCCCGGCCGACTCGGGGCCTTTCTGTGTGGGGTCTGTATGTTCTCCCTGTGCCTGTATAGGTTCTCTCCGGGTGCTCCGGCTTCCTGCCCCTTGTGACCCTATTCAGAATAAGCAGTATAGATAATGTATGGATGGATACCTTAGATTAAAATGTAACTATTTAGACCTTTTTCTATAGTGAAAAGTAATAACTCTGGGTTTTAATTGGCCTTGAATCTTCTTCTGTTCCTTCTCTTCTATTCCTGGGGCTGCTATGCTGTTGGTCTGTCAGTGGCTGGTAGGCAGTGACACCTCTTGCTGTGATGATGGATCACGGTGGGGTTTAATGTGGCTGCTCTTTGTGTAAATCTCTCTCCTCAGGAAGGTGAATGTTCACAGGAGTGAGTCAGCACTCCGGTCCGACACTCCAGAGCGTCTGCTGGCCTCTGCTGGGAGGAAAAACAGCTACATGAGCACAATGCAAAACCCTAATAGAGCAAAGATTTCAGTAAATTGAAACAATTTGAAAGCAAATTAAATCAACTTTCTTAAAAATGATGAATTGTTATAAATTAAAGATAGTTTTTGTTATGTAGCTTAAATGTGATTGCGTAAGAATATGACGGGAATGATATAAAGAAAATGAAAGTAACAGTGGGAAAAAAATCAATTGATCAAACTGACAAATGCTTTTGCTATAGTGCAGGTTAGCACCAGTGTAATTCACTGTTAACAACGCATGCTTAGTAAGTAAAGTTGATTGAACAGACAATTTAAAGGGTTGTTAATGAAGAAAATACTGAGAAAAGTCTGAGGGAAAATTCTGCTTTCTTTTATTGGTTATTCAATGTTACAGCTTTGGCCTTTTTATTATATATGTCTGCTTTCAAAGCCCTAAGTTTGGTGATGTACCCACACATATCCTTTCTGTCTTCATTTGTAGTTTAGTTGTATCCCACAGTTATATTTTCATGTTCTTATAAATTATGGCTGAACTCCTGCATCAGCAAATCTCGGTTTCCAATTAGCCACAATGTAAATGTAACCATAAAATAACATGAATTTGGAAATTACGTGGTTTATATGATTTGACAAAGCTGAATGAACACCCCAATGTTTTCCTGTTTCATTTTAAAGTACATTAAATCGCATTTTATCAGCTTTGTTTAGGTTGTTTTGAATTATACTTCGCTATCTAGAAACAAAATCGTCTAGAATTGTCGCTTATCTAAATGTGTTCGGCTCCAGAGGAAACGAGCATGGCATCTACATTAAAAATGCCTTTGCATCTTTACGTGCCATGCGTGTGTATTCCACACCCTGACTCTCAGCAAAACAGAGGCAAGGAAGGGCTGAGCGATGTTGGTCACGTTATTAGCCTATTGCAACCAACGGGACAGGGAAACAAATTGGAAACCCCGAGATCACACGCACTGATTCCCCAGGTAAAGGCTTTGTATGTTTCTTTTTGAATTGCGATGAAAAAGACGTGAGTAGTGATCGGCTGGGAGCGCGTATCAGTAGCCTTCTTGCTCCTTGTGTATGTTTCAGTGTCTGCCAGCTCCAGTAGAGGTGGCTCAGATTAGACATTTTGGGTAGTGGCTGCGCATTTCTTAAAGTGGGTGTCAGCTCGACCTGCAGAAATGAAGACGTAACGCTGAACTTTGCGGTTCCAGTCGCTTTGGTTGGCTGCAGGAGACTGAAGCCCAGCAGCATCCATTTGAAGGGCTGAAATGTATTTTTCCTAACCTTTTTTAAGCTGCATATCTGTCTATTTAGCTGAATCAGGTGGTCATTATTCCTCTGTTGCCAGTCAGGACGTCTCCGCCTTTGTATTTCCATATTGAAATGCCGGCCAGTGATATCCCAGAGCTGCTGCCTCTCTTTTCCTGTAAACGAGAGCTGTGGTCAGGCCCATATGGTTGCACCTTCATCTGACTTAGACCAGAACAGAAAAAGTCTCAGGGGCATCAAACACACAATCAGGCTCTATGGAAATGAACATCTGCGTGCTGAAATAATTCACATTTCAATTTGGCAGAAACCTGCAGAGAAATTTCAATCTTCTAAATGTCATATGGCTAAATGAAGTCTGAGCTAAAATGACCTTGTTCTGCATCAGAATTTAATTTTTGTGGTGTCATCACACAGGCGGCAAGGTCAGCAGTGGTTAGCACTGTCACCTAACAGCAAGAATGTTCCAGGTTTGAGCCCGGCCGACCCGGGGCCTCTCTGTGCAGAGTGTGCATGCTCTCCCTGTGCCTGCATGGGTTCTCTTTTGGTACTCCGGCTTCTTCCCACAGTCCAAAGACATGCAGCTTAGGTTGACTGGCTACTCTAAATTGCCTGTGAGTGTTTGTGGTTGTTTGTTTACATGTCAGCCCTGTGATAGACTGGTGACCTGTCCAGGGTGGACCCCGCCTCTTGCCAAGTCTCAGCTGGGATTGGCTCTAGCCCCTCTGCGACCCTCTTCATAATAAGCGGTATAGATGATAGATGGTGTCATCACAGGGGCTGTAATATTTGTCACAGGATAGGGGATCATTTAATAGTTTAAGCATCCTTCTAAAGTTTGTCTAAAATGTATAGAACAGGCCACGGTTCTGAAAGGTGAAAAGCATTTGTGCTTGCAAACTTATCATGGTGTTCTTGAATCTCAAGAACCATCTTAAAAACATGGTGCATCTCTGAGGTGAACACAGTGAGATTTTTTCCCCCAGCACAGTGTTACTTAGATCCTTTGGTTCAGATTGCGAAGATGTGCTCAGTATAAAGTCTCTTTCCCCACAGCCTCAGCCAGTCAAGTGTCTGGTGCTTTATACTTTCACTGCCAATACTACCTCTGTGATCTGCATTCGACTGTGGTTTAGCAGGAAATGTGGCGTCTCCATGGAAACTGAGGCTGTCAAATGATGATGACAAAGTAATGTTAATAACTGAGAGGCCGACTTTTAATCTTCCAGACAGCAAGCAGACATCACACACCATTAAAAACTCACGATGAAATGCATCTAGATGACCTGTGCTTGTCTGCAGTGTTAATCTTAAAACCACACACACAGATTCACCCACTTTTCTACAGTTCTCTTAAACTGTGAAAGATGAACAGTAAATCTGTTTCATGGCCCAGATGCACATACACCATGTAGTGACTGTGTGAAGATCTTTCTTTATAAATTGCCTTAGTGATGATAAAATATGGATTGGGTTAGCTAGGCATATACAGGAGGAGCAGAGGTAACAGCAGGGAGAAGGAAATCTGTGCAGAACCAATTAAAAATGCAGGCAACCTCTGTGACTCCTAGCTGAGGGAAATGACAGTGAAAAAGTTAACCTATATTATTTTGCTGGAGTCCCTGGAAGCCCCTCAAGGACCTCTGAAGGTCTATGAGATGTAGGTCTGTGTGGCCTAGATTTCTCTTTTATATGATTTATCATTACAGAGTGTAAAAGGATAACATATAATTGTCTTGGAGTCTCTTTTATCAATAAAGCACAACAAAATAGCAGTAAATTAGCATAAAAGCACAATAAGGCAAGTGAAGACATGAAAGGTACTGGTAGTATGCATATAATACAAAATAAAATAATGGGTTATGACAAAAGCACCAAAATGACCAACATAAAAAACAAATGCTAATCTGTGTGAGGAACTAAGAGGCATCTTAATATACATCTGAATTGAGAGCAGGTATTGTACATGGGATAAATGAAAAATGAAAAAATAACATTTCAAACTACAACAAACATTTCTTGTTGTATGAAGGAGATATTAATGATGGACAGTGGTTAAAATATTAAAATAGTGATATTTAATGAAAAAAATGAAATACAAGAAATAGTAATCCTTTCAATTAACAAACACCAACAGCAGACATTATTCAGTAGAGATGAATTCATCTTTGCAAATTCTATAAAATATATAACTACTTGACAAAAAATATAGAGCACTATATTTAGACTATAAACAGACCTACGAAACACGGTCTGTGTATATTAATTGAAAAAAAAAACAAATACAAAAATAAAAAAGAAATTAAATTAAAATCTGCAATCATAAAACTAGTCAGTATCCTCACGTGACGTGTGTTGTCCAACTGGACCAATGAAATCGCTTCCGGGAGGTTTACCCGCGAGAAGTGGAGCTGTGCCGAAGAGGGTGTGTATGCTTTCTGGAGAAAATATTTATGTTACACCTTTTAAGGTGTAAACATCTGAATAAATAATTAACAATATAATTTAATACTTTAATACTAACTTACTAATTCGTCGGTAAAGCCGCACGGTCCCAGGTGTGTGATGAGGCTTTTTCGGAGGACGCTGACTCCTTAGTGGGCAGCAACTTGCTGTGTTGTTGGGCGGAGCGTTAGTTAGCTTACTAGCCTTTAACTATAGCTAACATGCTAGCACTGGCTAACAATAACCGGCTGTAGACTCACATGCTTGCTTCGTTTTTTCGCGGCTGTTTGGCTAACAACACCAGCTAACAACGGCCTTTGTCCTGTCCTCGACCTGACCTCATGGATCCCGGAGGGAATGAACTGGACTCCAGTCTGCCTCAGCCCGATAACCCGTGTCTGATTGTGGAGGACTCGCAGCCCGACAGCGTCGCTCTGGAGGACGACCCTGAGAGCAGCTACCGAGCTCTGCTGGCTCGCCGACTGTCCAGTCTGCAGCCCCCCGCCTGCAGCCCTGTTCTGGTCAGCTGCATACTGATCTTATCAAGTTACTAACATCCAGTGTTCGTTTAAAGTTTCTGCTGCCGTGATAATGATCCAGGTTTACCACGGGTAAGAATGTTTGGGGTATTGTAAGTAGAGCTCATAATAAGACAAACAATAGTTTAGTTCAGCACAAGATCAGTCCCCTTGTTACGATACACGTGTACAGGTAAAGGGCATGGAGTCAAAGTACTTAATATGCTGAAAAATATTCCATGCTAGTGTTGTATTTATTATTTTTTTGGTTGATCAATACTGATAAGTTATTATATAAGCAGCCTTTTATTCTTTTTTTAAGCTGAGAATGTTGAGGCATTTTTATATACTATTGGGTTACTTACTCCAGTATTTATATTTGGTAACCTAATCAAACTTTTATAACATACTGTATATTTAGCTTAGTTTGTATGAAAAAAAAACTCCTTTAATCTGCAAAATTAACAAGTAAGCCTATACGAAATAGAACAAGTAAATGTTTATTCAACCCTGCCCTGTGCTCAGCCTGTCCGCATATGGTCTCATTCATCCATCCTCTATTCAGGGTAACATGGAGAGACTGGACGAAGGGCAGAATACACGCAAAGCAAGTTGCCAACATTTTTTTATTTTTCAGTATATCTAGACAGGTGACCACTCACACACTAACCTGTGGGATATATAGAAATCCCAGTTCATCTAACCTGTATATTTTTTGACTGTGCAAGGGAACTGGAACTCCTATAGCTGCCTGCAAAGTCTCTACAGGCCTGAGCATGGAGGTGGTTCACAGCATCCTGCTGTGAAGTAACAGTGCTCACCCCAGATGGCCAGATCCTGCAGCCATATTCTTTTAGCATAGAAATGTAGATTTAGTCCCATATGTAAGTGAAGATAAAATGTACTCTTTACAGCAACAGTGTGATCTTATATTCTTTCAACATGGTTCAAATCATCTTTTTTTCAGTCTTTTGTTAACTTCAACATAGCAGACCAAGTGCCATTAAATGAAAGTGAACCATGGCGTTAAAGAGAGTGTTTTCCCTTGAGCCTGCTGCTTGCCACTGAGGAATTTATCTAAACTTTGGATTTAGTACATCAACAGAACTGGACTGAGCAATACATTTATTCCCTTTTTATTTTATTAACACAATTTAATGAACTTGATATATCTTATGCAGGACAGTTTGTTACTCTGTGAAACTAGCGAAGTTTTTCCTCTTTCCCAGGAACTGATATCCTCGCCACTAGGAAGCAGATGCTCTCAGACTGACAGCCAATCAGAGAGCTCCCAGAGTAACAACCAAGCTGAGCCCGGTCAGTGCTCTTCTGACAATATGGACACAGCATGTATGTATACTATATCACTCATCAGAATAGCAAAAACAAAACCACTATTTTCTTTATCCAGGTGTTCTCATGACAGCCAACCCCAGTTCAGCATTCGAGGAGGAGAGCCAAGTTATAAACATCTGCCCTTCTCCGAACAAGAACAAGTATGTGTGGGCCAGACATTGTTGATGACTGATGAGTAATTGGTGATTAAACGATTTCCCTCTGGCTCATGTTCTTTCAGGTGTGCACAAGAGGACACCGACATGAATTCTGGAGCTGATTCAACCACACACTGCATTCAGTCTGAGGGTAGGATGTGATTAACCTCCACAACTGTTGTAGTACAATATTGCTGAGTGTGTTAATAAGCATAATAACTCCCGTATGTCTGTGTTTCAGGGGAATCCTCTCAGCCTGGTTTTCTCAAGCTTTCTCAGAGCCAGGATCTGTGTGGTGAAGCAGTGAACAGTCAGGAGGAGGAGGAAGATATCGTCCTTCAGCCAGACAGTGAGAGATGTTCCAAATCAGGTATCGGGCTTAAATTTAAATATGCTGTGATTGTTCTTCTTTCATGTTCATTTTTAATTTCCTTGACATTTAGACCTCTAATATCCTTTTGAGTTGATAGAGAAAGCATGACCCGTACATCTCGAAAAGGCAGCACAGAGGCCTGGTACCTGCATAGTAGGGTGACGCATTTAATTTCAGTCAACTGACAAATAACGAATACAATTTAAAAAAAAACAAAATAAATCAGAGACACAGCTTAACAAATGCTGATGTTTCCATTCAGGACATGAGGAGTTACTCAAGGACTTGGTGCTGTGGCCTTTAGTCACCAGATCTCAATTTAACAGCTATGGGAGCTCTTTGAGCGACATTTTAGACAGCACTCTCTACCACCATAAATAAAACATCAAATGATTGAATATTTTTTGGAAAGATGGGGTTCCCGAAATATCCCTTGTACTATGCTGCTGCTGTGCATTAGTGTGTGTGTGTGTTAGAGAGGAAATAAATTGCAAATCGCACTGGAGGCAGCATGACTGCTGGGTGCCACAGTTCACCATCTGGGACCTGGTAAGAGAATTCACATGTCAGTCTAATTTCTAACTGCTTTTCATCACCAGCAGATCACCGTGTCAGCTGCAGGACTTCAGCGAGGCAGGACAGCACATCAGTGAGGTACTGCTCCATGTGCTGTTTCAAATTCTGCACTCATTGCAGATGCACTCAGGTATCACTAGTGTTTTATTTCTTTCCTCCTCCAGATCTGAGGTGAGCTCCAGCAGCTCTTTGGACTCTCTGGGTCAGTCGGGCAGGCAGCTGAACGTCCAGGCTCTGGTGCACTCACAGGGCCGTCAGGCCTCCAGTGAGCAGGATCAGCAGGACTGTGAGATCCTGTCCTCGCAAGAGGACCTGTTTGACGTTGACAAGACAGGTATGTTCATGTACATGTGGCACATTTCGATACCTAAAGATCATGCTTGTGTTTGTGTTTTAGTTACAATGCATGTACATTGTAAAAGTCTTCAGTATTTGCTAAAGCGAACCAGATGTGAGGTACAGCTTGACTTGAAAAGAAGTGATCTTACAGACCACTGTAGCCCCCTGCTCATTTCTGAGGCTAGTGGCTCAATGCTACATTAGCATTTACTACCAAAATGCACCCAAATCTCTGACTGAACCAACAGCAGTCGAGTGACATTATGGGTAATGTAGGAATTCAGTTCTGGCAAGGAAGATGATTGAATGGAATTAAAAGATGAGACCTGAGTTTTGATCCAATTTATGTTGTACTGTCCATAATGAGTCCTGAGTGTTACAGGAGTGCAATGCTA